CAGCAACGTGCTGCTATCTGCACAGGCACAGCCAGCCCACGTGTCCCACCGAGATAGGAGAGAACAGCCACGGGCCACGGCAGGGCGCAGGCTGCCAGCTCGGATGCGCTGGAATCTTGTCATTCCTCTCCGAGCCTGAGACCAAGGAGGCACAGGGGACTCCACACAGCATCTCCTCTGCTGTTTGGGGCAGGGGAGGAGATAAAGCTGTAGAAGAAAAGGGGGCCCAGGCTGTGCTGAGGGACTCCCTTCTCCAGGAAGGGACTGAGGTGGCACCACGGGGGAATCTGGAGCGCGCACATGAAAGAGCGAGGCTGAAGGAAGAGATTAAAGCACCCAAGGGCAAAGGAGCCTTGTCCTGCCAACCTTCCTTGCCTTCAGCACAAAGGGATGTTGCCCCAGCACAGATAACCAGGTAAGAAGGGACAAGAGCTCTGTGCTGGAAGCAGTTTCTAAAGGGGAACAAAGTACTTGGAGTCAAGTCTTTGCTTCCTTACACGGCTCCTTTGTCCTTATCATGGCTTGCTCTCTTAGTGTAGCCTTTTCTGTCCCAAACCTATTTCACTATTTTTTGTCTTAGAGCTTTCCAGGTGTTTCCTGTTTCTGGCCTGTAAAATGCTGGAGATGGCCAGGCGGCTCCAAGTGCTTCCCCTGACATTACTGGCAGAGCAGATGCTCCTGTGTCAGCTACGGGTAAATAAAATAAAATTTGTGAAGTCCAGGAACACCTGTGGAGCTGCAGACAGGAGAGCAGATGAAAATAATTGCACATAACAGGAAGAAATTTGGTTTGGTGTCTGCTAGCTTTGCACTAACAGGTGGATTCAGCTTTTGAAGACAGAGTTAAGAAGCAGACATCACTCTGTTCCATTCCTGTTCTTTTCCAAGCTACAGTTCCACTTGGAAGAAAATGAGAGAGCCAGGTAATGTTCCCTGAAAGACGATGGTACAACTAGAGTGGCATTTCAATGGAGACTACTAAACAAAGGGATTTGTCTCCCAGCTCTTTTTACTCCTTGCCTTTCCCATTACAGAACCAGCTCTCAGAGATCATCATTAAAAAGAACAACAACAACAACCCGGCCTCATCAGTTCTTGTGAATTCTGAAGGTCACCAATGTCACCATCAGTTATAATGACACACATCACTCCCCTCTTCACACAAATGGATTTATGGCCTGTTTAAAGGCTGATGTCTCTCCAAGCACTTCACCCCTTCTGCCACCCCTTCTCTGCACACACTCACTCTACTCCAGCAACAGCTGCTGGAAGAAATGATGAATTTCATTACTTTTCATCCAAAACAGCTTTGCAGTATATGGGAGAAGCACTGAAGGCTGCAGGCTCGTTAGCACAGGATTTGTATTGCCACATTTTACTTTATTCACCTTCCCAAATTAGGTGAAGCACGTCTGGCCCAAACCTGTGATTTCTGTTTAATTAAAATGCAGGTAGTGGAGTCTCCTGAACTCCAGAGCCCCCCACACAATCAGGTGGTGACAGCAACCTGGTAGAATAATGCTCTTGATATAGTGGCTGCTCTAACAGAGTCTTAATTTCAGTGGAGCAGAACAGCACCTCTGGTAGCAGCTGTGTTTTGGGCTGGGATGAATATCAGTACCCAGCCTCTCGCTGAACACTCACTGCCTCCCCAATCAGAGCCAGCATCCCTGACAGCTGAACTGTTAAATGAATTAACAAGGCGAAAAGGGGGCTTGCCAGCGGGGCTGCGACTCCATTCCTAATTTCTGCAAGTGGTGGCTTTCAATTTTTCTGTCATTTGTCAGGAGATGCACATGGTTCTCTAATGAGCAGGGCAGAGCTGCAGCCAGCACTAAAAAGGCAGTGTAGAGGATCTTCTGGGCCTTGGAGGAGAGGGATGCAGATGCTTGAGGCAGGTGGGGGAAGGACACGGGCTCTGCTCAGGCTGAACAGGCAGCACATCCTTCCCAGCTGTGCTGAGCTCAAGGACTCCCAGCCCACTCTCCCATCTTGGGGAAGAACTGCTCTCCACACCAGTGAGTTTTACCAATATCCAGGCATAACTTAAAAGGAAGCCTTTGGTCTTATGGGCTACCCGAAAAAGGGAAAGCATTTTTACCACCTGTATAATAAAATAAAATAAAAAAAAAACACCACCAAAAAAACCCAGAAGATCCAAACCACTGGCATCCAGCTTTCCTATTTACCATGCAAGCTGGGCTACAGAGGCCTTTTACTCATGGCTGGCCCATTGTTCTCTCCCAGAATTTCCACCTGCCCATCAGTCTGAGGCAGGGAAGACCTGCTCAGGCTGCCCAAGGGAGAAGTTGGCTGAAGCACAGCTCAAGAGCACTCCAGGGCTGGAGAGAAACTCCCCATTTGGGTATATTTTGCTCATTTAATTGGCAAAACTTGATGAAGGTTTGTTTTAGTAGCTTCCCCCCACCCCAGCTTTTCAGGTGGTTCTATTACCTACTGGAACTTTTACTGTAAAAATCCAGGTCTGATCACAGGGAAATTTTCAAATCTAATAGGGGAGAGCACAGGAGGGAAGGAAGGAAGGAATCACAGACGCTCCACCTTCTGCATCACTCTGTAGAAGCTGAACAGCACAACCAACAGCAACATGAACACCCAACATAAATGGGTGTTTTGACCGAGCTGGCCTAAGCCCAGCACATTTCCCCAAAGGCACAAAGGCTGTTTATCCCTTTCATGAGCCAGAGAGGAATGTTCTCCCCTCTCCCAGAATTACTGCAATGCTTAGGGCAGAACGAGGCCCCATTTAACAGCACTGAGACAAGAGTTACCTGAGAGCTTCAGCCCAGGAACTGGCCACCTTCACTCACTTTGTGCCCAGTGCTGTGCCTGTGTCAGCACTTGTTTATTGGGAAGCTTTTCTCTGTTTTTAACCTGGATGCTCCATTGCTGGAGCTGAGCAGACTCATTTTTTTCCAGCTTGCTGCTTAACTGCCTTTACCGTGGGTAAGAACATCGACCAAACAATAACAGCAAAAACCTTGTATTTCCACAGCACACTTTAACTCAAAGGTGTCACAAATCAATTTAAAACTTAAATTGCAATACCATCTCCAATCACTTTACTCACAGTATAAATCACAGCCAGTTCTGGAGGTGGAAGAGGCAGTTATATAACAAAGTGTAATAACTTCACACAACAAGAGTGAAAATCGGCAGGAAGATCCTACATTCATCATCTCTGCTGTGTGAACCTGGATGGTCCCTTTCCAGAGGTAAATCCAGGAACTCTAAAACAACAGCCAAGTCACACACTACAACTTCAGACACACCAGTCCTGCCTGGGAAAGGAGGCCTCCTGGATAGCACAGAATCATGGAATGGTTTGAGATGGAAGGGATCTGAAAGCTCATCTAATTCCAGCCCCACTTCCTTCAGACACGCAGGGGTCCTGTAATTATCTCAGTGTCCTCTCAAGTCTGTCTCCTTCCATTGCCTGTTCCCTGAGTTATGATAGGAAGATCTGGACTGTGGGATTAAAAGACACAATATGAGGCATTTCCTTGTTTTCCCCATCTGAGTTCCCATGCTGTGTACATGTGTATAAGTGCATGTGCTGGCTCCATTTTCAGCAGGCAGATACTTAGCTCTGAAACAAAAATGTATTTTGAAGCCAGATACAGTTAGCTCCACCTGGGACTTTCTTTGCTGCAGTTGCAGAAGTAAGTTGGAACAGAAGCAAACTAGAAAAAAATGTAAATATTGCCAGCTGTCTCTCCAGGACAACGCTGCTCTGATTAATTTATGATGTTTTCAAAGAAAGATGGTGAATGTTGCACCATATTTGAAATGAAAAGGTTAAGCAGAGTTTAAAAAAATGCGCAGTAGAGTTCTTTAAAAAAACGTGCTTTGCTTAGTTTTGAGCAATAGAATGTTTAATGAGTAATAATGAAATGAATTAGTGCTGGCTTTGATAGCTCCTCCATCCCACAGCCCCGAGACACAGAACAAAGTGCAATCAGCTCCATTGCTGGGCCAAGCAACGGGAGGGTCGAGCTGCCTCCCCTTGTTCTGAGCTTCAAACGCTGCTGCTGCAGAAACGGAGACCAGAACTAATGAGCATTTCAGAGCCAGCCTCCCTCCAGCTGGGATCACCATAACCACAGCCCTGCTGGCAGGGCTGCAGGAGGGCAGCAGCCCTTCCAGTCCTGCTCTTCCCAGCTGGAGTTTCTGGGGGGACAGAGTGGCTGGGGGTTTATCTGGGCTCTCACAAACCACCCGTTCCTCATGGCATTCACAGAAGCGTCTGATCAACTCTTCTGTCCTGATTTCCACCTCCAGCCTTCCAGTGGGGGGATTTTAAAACGATCAGAGAGGACTCAGGCACCAGATCTAGATAAGCAAAGGCCTGAACAGTGCCACTGACCAGGGCTGGATGCAGGGACAGTCTGCATGCTCCTGGGAGCACCCAACCCCTGCCACCAAAACCAGCACTAAACCAGACACGGCATCTCCTCGCTTCAAGAGCACAAAAACACAGCCAGCTGTGGTGCCAGGCAATGTCTCTACACAGAGAGTTATAAAATAAAAGGATCAGCTTTCTGAGTCTCCCTTGTTTTGTAGTTTTGTTTCTTTTCCCTTGTGGCTTTCCTGTGCTCCACTTTTCACTTCTTTAACTCAAGTCAATTTTTCCCTCAAGCTAATTTGGTATGAACAGTCATCCCCCTGCAACTCCAAAAATATTTTCTCTTCTTTCTTTCAAATGTCTTTTCTTCCCTCCTTCCTGCAGACCAACTGGTTTCCAACGGCAAGAAACTGCCAGTGCTTATTCCAGGAGAGTGGGCAACAAAAAACTGTCAGCAATAATGACTGGGGAACTTTCCAAGTAATCCCTTTCCTGGACAATTATTGATCATTATCTAGAGAATACTACAACATGCTGATATGACCAAAAAAAAAAAAAAAGAAATAAACTTATTTTT